GAGACCCTCTGCTGTTAGGTCAATTCCAATTCATAATAACCCACATTGGTTTTCAGGGCTGCCCATTGCTTTTCTTCATCCTGGCTGGGGGGTTTGAACTGGCACATCATGCACTGTCCTGCAAGGGCTCTTCATGCATTTGTGTGTGTGTATTTATCTGTGGGGGCCCATCTTAAGGATGTAGCAGAAAAAATACAAATGGGAACATTTGTTAATGTGAAATTTTGGATTTTATTGTGGTTTTAGTTCTTTGAATCTGAGACATAAATTATAAAATTAATAAATTTTAGCATATTTGCTGTGAATTGTTGGTTATCATTGTCTGTTATATTATTCATGTTAATTAATTTGTATTTTAAAGGTAATAAAAACAAGCTCCGGAGTCTCAGAAAAGTAGGTTAGGATGTTCAGAGACTTAAATGAACTAGGCAGCAAAGCTAGCCAGAAGCTTAAATTACGGTTTTATATCATGGCCTCAAAATAATATAAAGGAGTCATTTTGTTTTACATGTAATTATTTGTATAGTTTCCTTTGTATTAATTACGAAAAATCTCTCATTTTTCTATTAAATATCAGCTTAATTGAGTTTTTTAACAAAATGAAGAAGTGGGAAGACATGGCAAATCTACCCTCACATTTCCGAGAACGGACTGAGAGACTGGAAAGAAACTTCACTGTCTCTGCAGTCATTTTTAAGAAATATGAACCCATTTTTCAGGACATTTTTAAATATCCTCAGGAAGAGCAACCTCGTCAACAAAGAGGAAGAAAACAGAGGTACCTTATTCATTCTCTTTGTTAATAAAAAATTGACTTGTAATTAATTGTTGTCTCGCATACTCTGGGCATGTTATCTATCACCAAGTCCCCAGAGAAGGAATTCATGCTTGGCTAAGTAGAGGGTCCAGGAAAGAGAGGCCGTCCCTCAAGGAGATGGATTTACATGTGACTGTCACATGCTTAAGGACAGCAGAGGCTGTCAGGTTGGTACAGGATCACGAGGGTTTCCTTGTGCTTACCAAGGGGGTCACTGTTAGAGTTGATTCAGTGACACGGAACACCAAAAGTTGGATAGAAGTTTTGTTACGGGGGAAGCCAATGTAACTGTTTATAGAAAAATACAAAATATCTTCTTTCTTCAGAGCATTTTGAAAATAGAGTATGTTCCTATAGGAAAGTAGATTAGCTTTCATATTGCCTCTATTTTTTTCTTCTTGTGATTTAGGTATAAATTTATAGAACAAATTCATTTTTATTCACCAATTTATACCCCTTTTTAGATAGTATTTATTCAAGAATTATATACTTTTTTAAATTACATTTCCGAGTGTTAACAGCATTCTTCCCCACTTTCGACTTGGATTCCCCTTTCCATTCAGTCTTTCTTCCTGTGAACCTTCCTGCTTTCTGAACTTTCTTTTAATCTTCTTGTTGTTGGGTACTGTGGAGTCGGAACTGACCCATAACTGAGCCTCCAGCGGGTCCTCAGAGGCAGTTACCGCATAAGAGGAGATTGCCCATCCTTCTCCTGTGGAGCAGCTGGTACCTTCAGGATTGCAGCACCGCTTCTTGCCACTCTTGGTTGATATTCTAAGGCGTGCCCGCCTCACAAATACTATCGTTCGCTTCATAGGCCTTTCTGCTGTTTGGCTAATTCCTGAGAGTAGGTTCAAGTTTAAGAGTTTCTCTTGAGTGCTGTAGAAAATGTCTTTAAATTTGATTGATGTCAGTGTCTATATTGTATTTTCTTAATCCTAAGTAAGAAAATTTTGAGGTTAGTTAAAAATTACATACATTATATACTTTTATCATTATATATTTTATTAGCTTTTTTTCCCCTAGTAGTAAGAATATTTCATCAACATTTACTCTGGGACAGAGATTCTTAACTTCAGTATGTATTGTCTCACTTAATGTCAGTGATCTTTTAAAGAGGTTGACATTGTTAGAGATGGAGAAAATGAGTCACAACGAGGTTAAATAAATTGCCCAAAGTCAGAGAGCAAACAAGGGAGAGGGAAGTGTCAGGTACTCTTTCTGGATCAGTTTGTGCTTTTCAGCATGAAGCTATGCTTCCTTTCAAGTACGGGATTCTTTGAAAGTTACTAAGTGTATATTGAACACTGTGCCATGCACTGTGCTAGTATTTTGCAGGGCACAGGTATTTGAAAAACTAAAAGCCTAACAGTCTTTCTCCTGAGAGGGTGTACAAAGTACTTTGTTTGAATAAGACCTCTGGCAGGTGAAAACCACAGATGGGAAGAAAAGAAAGGCATAAAGATTCTAATTTCTACAATGGCAAATATTTAAATTGTTACATAAAATAGCCAATAGGAATTTAAGTCTGTGGCAAAAAGAAATCACTTCTCAATGAGTCAATCAGATAAGAAGAGATAAAAATAGTCCTTGAAAGATGAGTAAGATTTTGATAAATGAATTTGGAAATATAAACAGGATCTTCTATATAGAGAAAATGCAAGAAAAAAAAGACAACAAAGCGGGAATGATTTTTGGAAGAGATTACTTTTGACAGATGAAGGAAGAAAAACATGGGGAGCATAAGTGTATCTACCTAGTGGTGGTGCTGGAACTGAACTGAGTCTTCAGATTCTTCTCCAGGCTCTTTTGCCCCCTAAGGCGCTCTGTTGGAATAAGGCTACTACTGGAATGTGAAAACCACAGATGTCTCATCTAAACCTTGGCATGGATTTAGGTTGAAAAGCCAAGCTTAGAGGAAGTTTGTAGGGCTTGTTCACAGACAAGTTGGCAAAACACAAGCACGTACTTTTAATGGATGACAGTGTAAGGAATTACAGGAAACTTAGAGTATATGCAAAGAATGCCTTTGTGACTCCAAATAGCTTATAATGCTTGGGGCGGGGGGGTACAGGGAAAAAAAATCATGTTGTTGTTAGGTGCTGTTAGTCAATTATGAGCCACCCTGTGGAGCAGGCAGGACCCTGTCCCATCTTGCGTCATCCTCACAGTGTCAGCGTTGCTCCAGTGCGCTGTTACAGTCACTGGGGCAGTCCATCTCATTGAGGGTCCTTCTCTTAACGAGACTGCCCCAGCATGATGTTTGCTTGCATCTGTAGGTCTCACAGTGGGATTAGCCTAGCTGAGCATCAGTTGAACTCCCGTTGCTCATTTTTTTTATCACCTTACTCATTTTGACTTTGAAAAGCTTTTAAAATTTTTCAGAATTTTTTTTCTCTCTCTCTCAAATGAACATTTCCTCTTCCTCTCAGCTATTTCCCATCCCTATCTGGCTGAAGCAGAGTTACGCACACAGTTTTCATGTTCAATCTAGTACCTTCTAAATCTAACTGTAGGTTTCTGTTTCTTACCTAATTTATCATTGTTTAACATGTATTTTTCTATTGTCTCATGACTTTTTTTCCCCCTCACCTGAAGGCGACAGCCTTGTACTGTGTCAGAAGTTTTCCAGTTTTGTTGGATGCTTTTTATATATGCAAAAGGTAAGAAAAATAGTCATATTTATTCAGATATTTATATTTGAGTGTTTGATTATTAACTTTGCTAACTCATATCATGTACTATGAACTGGTCTTTACTGAAATGTTTCTCAAGAATTTTAAAGCTGGATTATTATTTTTTTCATATTGTCCTAAAATATACTTAACATAAAATTTACCATTAAAGTAACAATATTATTATTATTATCATTATTACTACTATTATTATTTGTGTGTGTACCATAAAATCAGATCTGACTGGTAACAGGAGGAGATTGTTCTTCCTTCTTCAGCAGAGCATCTGATGGATTCAAATCGCAAACCTCTGGGATTGCAGTGCAGATTCTTGCCACTAGCCCACAAAATTTACCATTTTAACAATTTTCAAAAATTATTAATCTGTTGGCACTAATCACATTCATAGCGTTGTTGACCCATTAACGCTATGTATTTCCTAAAAGACAAACAAAAAATATATTTTCATTAAGCAGCAAGTCCCAATGTTTTCCTTTTCTCAGTCCATGATAATCACTAGTTTTTCTGTCTCTGGTCACTTTTCTAGTTTAGATATTTTATAATAATGAGCTTTTCTGTATTTGTTCTGTCTGGCTTTTGACTTAGCATAATGTTTTCAGGATTCAGTAGTATCACGGTGTTGTAAAATTTCACTTCTTTTCATAGTGGAGTAATATTTCATTGTACATGTCGACCACATTGGGTTGTTCCAGTCACTGATTGATGGACACTTGGGCTTTTTCCCACCTTGAGGTTATTATAAAAAATGATGCAGAAGACCATATGTGTTTGAATCCTTGCTTTCAGTGAGATAACTAGGAGAAGAATTGCTAGGTTATGTGGTAGTTCTGTGTTTACCTTTTTTTTTCCTCATGTAAATGAAGAACTTTATTTAAATAACATATTTTAGTTTTGCCATTGTTAATGTAAAATACCCACTTATAAACAAATAGTTTTGATAAGGTTCTAGGAACTACCTACCTCCTTGCTTTATTTAAATATATGATCCATTGTGTAATTAACTGTTTTTATTGCTGCTCTTTGAAAATTCAGTCGAATAAGTTCAAGCAGGACTAGAGTGAGGCTGACACCTCACTGGGCCTGTCCCTCTTAGCTTATCATTTTCTACTGAACATTCCCTTGGTGTTGATGTGTTTAACTTTTATAGGAAATGCCCAACTGTTTTCCATAACAGATACACCATTTTACTTTTCCACCAGCCATAAATAAAGGTACTAATTTCTCCAAATTCTCATCAACACTTGTTATTCTTATTTGGGTTTTTTTTTTTTTATGCAGCTAATCTTGTGGGTGTGAAGTGGTATTCTGCTACCGGAAAATAAACTCTTCCCACAAAATCCTTAGCTATCCAAAATGACATTAAGAAACAATCACCATTAGTTAATACAAGAAAAATTTGTGAGTGTTCTCAGGCCCGTAAAATAAATTATCAGATCATACCATATAACTCTTAAAACCTAAAGTGTGTTTTTTTTTTCTCAGACACAGTTCAAAGTCACGGCAGTGTAGTGCTGAGATGCTGAGGGGGCTGCCAGGAATGGTGCTGGTTGATGCCACTCTTTTTTTTTTTTTATTATTTTTTTTAATGCCACTCTTGTTGCTTGATGTGCACAGCCCCCTTAACGGCTCGCTGCAAACCTAACGTTGAACACTAGTTTTGCTTTTCACTCTTTTTTTTCTTCTTCTTTTTTATTTTTTGGTAAAAGCTGAAATCCTCTTCAGATCTTTTTCAGTTCATGAAAACAGGTATCTTTTCTAAGTGTAAACTTTGGAAGAGCAGAGGATACCTGCGTCTTACCGTGGGTTTGATATGTGTTTCCCCGTTGGCTGCAAGGTAGCTCTGTGGGCACAGTCCGCAGAGAGTTGTGCTACTGACTCCCAGGTTGTGCCCGTCTGACAGTTTGAATCCACCAGCGGCTCCAATGGAGGAAGGTGGGAATTCTCCTCTCGTTCGATTTACAGCCTGGAGACTTCAGTGGAGGGTCAGCTATGAGTCAGCTCCACGACACCGAGTGAAATGTGATGACTGCTAATACTGCTAAGAGCCTCGCAGTCTGAACCTCCCACCTGCTCACCAGAAGAATGATGTAGCTGTCTTGCTTCTGTAAGCATCACAGCCTTGGAAACCCTATGAGGCAGGTCTGCTGTGTCCAGCATTATCAGTTGGGATCTCCTCAAAGGGTTTTGTTTTGTCGCCTAGTTGACTAATAACACTGGATAGATTTTCCTTTGTTTATATGTCATTTGTTCATCCTCTCGCCAGAGATGTCTTGAGCCTTTTAGATGCACAATTAACTTCTTTTTCAAGGGTTTGTACAAGACTAGTTCCTACAAGGTGGTGGTTCTATGCCATTGAATCAAAACTGACTCATAGCTGACCCTCCAGTGGGTTTTCACAGGCTGAAAATGGCGTGGAAGATTGCCCATCTTTTTCCTCCAGTGCAATTAGTGAATTTGAACCTTATGTCTTTGAGTTGCTAGCATAACTCCTTACCACTAAGCCCTTAAAGCTCCCTCTAAGGTGGAGATTAAAAATGTTCAAAATGCTTCTCTTCTACCAACTGCTGTCCCTCTCCATCAGCTCTGACATCGGTGGTTCCTTTTCCCCTTAGAACTCTCACTCCCATCAGTGTCTCTGGGTTCTGTAGTTTACTGGAAAGTCACTCAGAATCTCAAAAACTGTCAGAGAAGTGGTTCATGTGTTTGTAGATGGTATAAGCTGATGCATGTGGTTGCAGAAGTTCCTGAAGGGATGGGCCAGTTGCCCTCTGGCTGAGATTGTCAGTTGTGGACTGTCATTTGCTGGCTGTCTGAGCAGCTGGATCAGGTTCTATGCAGTATACCAACTGAACAAGGAGTTTGCCAGGAGCATTTCTCTATAAACTGTCTCAGGGCTACACCCATATCCCTGGAATTGCTGTGAGTGGCAACTTGGAAGTACCTTCTAGGGGGTATCTGCTTATATGTCATTTTGGAAACACATCTTTGGAGGAAGTGTTCTGTTCTAACCCTGCTTACTTAATACAACAAATAACTTGTTCTGAAAAGAAGTCCTAAGCATAGACAAAGAGAATAGCATCACCAAACAGAAGGCTGTGTTGGGAATGGCCATATTACTTACTAGTTCATTGTACCACATTTGCCCATTTTATGTAAAGTGTTTTTGCCCTGTCATTGTTCATTTGTAAATTTTACTGCCTTTTAATGAAATAGAAATGGTTACAGTTCCTATTGTATAATGTATAATATTGCTGATTTATAGGACCTCTGGTGGCCCGGTGGTACAGAATTATGCTACTGCCCCAAAGGCACACAGTTCGAATTCACCAGACGCTCTACAGGAGAAGCATGGGCAATTTTCTCCTATGATTTATGTCTGGAAACCTGTTGAAGGGTCAGCTATGAGTCATTTTTTACTTTATGGCACATAACAACAACCTTGTCATTATAATTAAAGGGAGAAGTGACTTTGAAATATTATAAAATTGATGTAAGTGTAACCACAACATTTTCCAATTCTACAGGTAATTTCCCCATGATTAGTGATGATTTGGTCAATTCTTACCATCTCCTTCTGTGCGCCTTGGACCTAGTTTATGGAAATGCCCTTCAGTGTTCTAATCGTAAGGAACTTGTAAACCCTAATTTTAAAGGTAAGTTTCTAAATCAAGGGTTATTGGACAAAGCAACCAACTTAAAAAAGAAAGAAAGAAAGAAATCCAAATAGCTTAAAAAAGAAAAGATTATTGACCAGCTCACATCTCCACCTTTTGTTCACACTAGCAGTTTTATACATAGCACAGATTCCCTAACATCAGACGATGTGGGGTTTTTTTAGTTTTGTTTTTTTTTAATTTATTTTATTTTTTTTATTATTATTATTAGTGTGTGTGTGTGTGTGTGTGTGTACCGTCAAATTGGATCTAACTGGTACAGGAGGAGATGGTCCCGCCTTCTCCGGCAAAGCATCTGGTGGATTCGAACTGCATATCTCTGGGATTGCAGTGCAGCTTCTTGCCACTAGGCCACCAGAACTCCCCCAGAGGATGTGTTTTAAAGAGCTTCAGCTCTTCATCTAATGAATGATGGTAATTACAGAATTTTCCACAATTTTGTGCTTATATAAACAACATGTCTACACATATGAGAGTGGAGTGTGCTTACAAAAAATAGTAGAGGAAGGAAGGTTTTATGCTTGGCAAAAGCAGTCAGCCATCTAGTAAACACTACAGTCATTGCAGGCAGCACAGAGGCTTTGAAGAAAATTTTAAATATTTCTGAAATATACACTCAGTAAGAAGTCATTATGAGACGCAGAAAAAGCAAAGATAGTGACCGTGAAGTCAGAAGTCTTTTTCTACGTTAGCCAACTTCCAGCTTGACATGTAGATCAAAAAGGACTTATTACTGGAATCTTCATTTCTGTTTTCTTGCAGAAAAGGGATAGTTATGATCTTAAAAGAAGTAATATGAATTTTAATCTCCTAAGCTAACAGATGAATGGAAATGATCATTATCTTGGTGATGTGTTTAGTAGGTTTAAGTATGTAATTCTTATGTTATAAGGCGAAATTAGCATGAATTATAGTACAAATATAAATAAATATTTATAGAGTTAGTAATTTAATACTGCTGATGCTTTTTGTTTTAATTTTATACTGGTTTACATCTGCTGATGTTTTTTTTTTTTCCTTTCATTTGTTTATTTACAAAATTCTAATACAAATTCGAACAAATTCTTTCAATTTCCCTCACTCCACCATCCATCAAATTGTACAACCCAGTGATTAATCCCCTCGTCCCCTTGTACATCCACATTCCTCAGCTTCTAGCCTCTTTCACCCCTCCTGGATCCTTATACTCATTCTACAATAATGGTCTTATATTTATCCTTGTGGGACTGAGTTAGTTCACTCAGCGTAATGCTCTCCAGTCCCTCCCAAGTTAAGTAATAATTTACAAAGTTATTGCTCCTGCATGCTGCATAGTATTTCATTATGTGAATGTACCATAATTTCTCAATCCATTCGTTTGTAGTTGAACATTGGGGCTGGCTGTTTACATATTCCTGGGATGGTGAATAATGCAACTATAAACATTGGTGTACAAATCTCAAGTTTGTGCCTCAGTTCTCATATTCCCAGGTTATATTCCCAGTGATGTTTTTAAATGATAACCATGGTAGATTCCAGGTAGTTGTCAATGTTGAGGAAATTCTAATTAGAATTTTAACTTGTTTAACTATCCTGCTAGATTTTTAGAGTCCGTGGAGTTACTTCGCTTCCTCCTGGTGTGGTGACTTGATGTCTTTATAAAGTTTTCTCTCTTATATAGTCTTTTTTCTCATTACCATCCTAGCTGCCTTTTCCATTTCTACACAGCCTCTTCCCTTCCCTCTTGAATTTTCCCTTCATGCTTTTTTTTCCTTTTTTTTTTTTCGTTCATGCTTTTTGTGCAGGGCAAAATGAAGCTGTAGATGATTGTGGCAGTAGGAGGTCTTATGATGTAGGCTGTGGAGAACTGCACCAGAGACAGCAGCACCTTTCTGGGGTTCCATCCGGTTCACCAGTTGCTCTGAGGGAGAAAGAAGGGCAATTTCCTCCTGTGTGTTTTATAGTCTCCCACTGGAGGGTCAGCTAGGAGTCATTTCCACCTTAACACCATTGAGTGAGTGGGATGATTATAAGCACAGCTAATGTAACTGAGTGAAAGCATCACACTTTAGACTGAACACTGAACTTTTCAAAGTTGTGTTTTTGTTTGAATGTGAGACTTATTTCCAAAGTTTTATTTTTGTGCATCTTAGATCTATGGCAATATACTTTTTAAAAAAATCCTTGTTTCTCTTAACTGTCTCTCAGTCGTTGTTGTTGATTGCCGCTGAGTCGAGCGTGACTCAGAGACCCTATGAACAAAAGGCCTGAAGCCCCTCTACAGCCATCGACATTTATCAAGGTTCATAAAGTTTCCAGAGGCGTATTATTTAGGAAGTGGATGACACTCCTGTTTCCAAACCTGTCTTAAACTGGGAGCTCCACCAAACACTGTCCATCATGGGTAACCATTATGGCATTTGACACCCCAATGGCACAAGGCTCAGCATCACAGCAACCCCAGGTTATCTCAGTACAGCATATTGACTGACAGAAGAGTGCTGTACCACTAAGAAGAATGTTCCTCCAAAATATAACAACAATCAACTTTAAATATATTGGCTTTAAACAAAAGGCTTAAAAAACCAACATAACCAATATAGTATGTTGTTATGTGCCATTGAATTGCCTGCAATGTTTAGTGGTCCTGTGTACAAAAGCTCTGAACGCTTCCCTGTCCTGAGCCAGTCTCTGTAATTCCAACACAACAACACCATTGCCCCACATACCACATCAATCCATCTCATCCAGGGTCTTCCTCTCCTGCACTGTTCCTCCACCCTACTGAGCATGATGTCCTTCTCTAAGGACCAAAGGACCAGTCTCTCCTGACAACAAGCCAAAGTATGTGAGGCAGAGCTTCAAAACCCTAGCCTCCAAGGAGAGATTTGGTTTCACTCTTTCTGAGACAGACCAATTTGTTTTCTTGGTGGTCCATGGTATGTTCAAGACTCTTCACCAGCACCACAACTTGAAGGCATCTATTCTTCTTCTGTCATCCTTAGTCATTGTCCAACTCTCTGAAGCATAACAAGTACTTGAAAAGACCATGGCCTGGATTAGGCGCACCTTTGTATCTAGACTGACATTGTTGCTCTTCAGCACTCTGGAGAGGTCCATGACAGCAGATTTTCCCAATGCAATTCATCTTGTGATTTCTTCACTGCTGGTGTCAATAGTGTTGATTGTGGATCTGAGCAGGATGTAATTGTTAACAACGTCAATCTCTTCTCCATCTATCATGATGCTGCCAGTCGTCCCAGTGGTGAGAATGACAAGCCTTTTGAATGGTGATTTTATTTGGTGTTATTTGAGGAATATTGAAATAGAATCAATACACTGGGTCCTGTTTAGTATTTCTTACATACATTTATATGCAACTACTAGCTTGGCTATTATTTATGTTTTGATTATCCATTTGGTTTAATGTATGCTAACTAATACTGCTCTTTTTAACAATCCTATACACATCCTAGGCTTCTCTGAAGACTTTTCTGGTAAGGATTCCAAACCTTCCTCAGATCCACCTTGTGTCATTGAGAAGCTGTGTTCTTTACATGACGGCCTTGTTTTGGAAGCAAAGGGGATAAAGGAACATTTCTGGAAACCCTATATTAGGAAACTTTATGAAAGAAAGGTTTGTAAGCAACAGAGACATAATGTGAAGATGTTTTTCTCAGGTAAAATTGTATTTACTGTAATGACTTAAGGACCTCTTCTCTTATTATAGCTCCTTAAGGGGAGAGAAGAAAATCTTACTGGGTTTCTGGAACCTGGGAACTTTGGAGAAAGCTTGTGAGTAATTTTGTTACAGAATGGTTTTAAATTGTATCCTTTCACGAAAGTGTTTAGTGTTTGCACTGTTTATATCCTAGACATGTAGAAGACGATTTTTAGGGGAGGAGTAAAAAGGCTCTACGACAAGCAGATATCCTTTTAATCTAGTAAAAATCATGTAACTGTTCTTTAAAGTATTTTTCTTTTTTTCCAAACATTTTATTGTATCTGAGGTGACTCTTTACACAGAAAATTCACAATTTATATAATAATCCACTCCCAGATTATGCCATGGTGTTGATTACCATCTCCTCAGAGTGCCAGGTCTCACACCTTCCACCCTGAGTCCCTCATTTTCAGTCCAATCTCATTTTTCTCTTCTTCCTGCCTTCTTATCTTTGTTTTTGGGATAATGTCCTTTAGATCTCACATAGTTGTGTGTAATTTTGTCTTTTTTAAAAAAAAATTTTATTTTAAGGGAGCTCTGGTGGCCTAGTGGCAAGACACTGCACTACAATCCCAGAGGTACGTGGTTCAAATCCACCAGATGCTCTGCTGGGGAAGGAGGGGGCAGTCTCCTCCTGTACCAGTCAGATCTGATTTGATGGTACACGTAAAAATAATACAATAAAAAAAAAATATTTTCATGAACATTTACAGAAAATTTGAATTTTCATTCATTCATTGTTGCACATTGTCCTCCCTCCCTCCCCAGTTTATTTATTTTTTTTTTAAAAAAACCACTTTGTTCATTGTTGCACAATTTCTTCCCTCCCACTCACTCATCCCCCAGTCCACTTTGCAGTGCACCTCTTATTCTGGACTATTGTCATAAGTTGCTTGTCTTAAGGTGCAAATTCCTCATGGGTGTTACTGTTTATTTTATAGGTTGGTTCTTTTATGTGGTTGAGAAATAATATGAAATAATCATCCCTAAAACTATGAGCTGTTGTTTGAGTAAAACAGAGGAACACTACAAGGTTTAAAATCAGGCAGGGTAAGTACCAGGGATATATCCTTTCTCCAGACCTCTTGAAGTTGTATGCTGAGCAAATAATTCACGAAGCTGGACTCTAAGAAGAAGAATGTGGCATCAGTATCAGTGGAAGACTCAATAACCTGCATTATGCCAATGACACCACCTTGCTCGAAGGTGAAGAGGACTTGAAACACTTGTTGCAGAAGATCAAGGACTACAGCCTTCAATATTGATTACAGCTCAACATCAAGAAGACAAAAATCCTCACCCCTGAGCTAATAGGCAGCACCATAATAGATGGAAAAAAGCTTCAAGTTGTCAGTGATTTCATCTTACTTGGATCTACAGTCAACCCCATTGGTACCAGCATTCAGGAGAGCAAGAGATGTATTGCATTGGGCAAAGCTACTGTCTGGGGCCTCTTCAAAAAACTAAGGAGTAGTTTTGTTAGTTTGAGCACCAAGGTAAAACTGATTCAGGCCTGGTGTTTTGAATCCTTTGCTATGCATCTGAGAGCTGGACAGTGAATAAGGATGACAAAAGAAGAATCTATGCCTTTGAGTTGTGCTGGAAAAGAGTACTGAGTATCCCATGGACTGCCAAGAGGACAAATAGCTGTGTCTTCAAGAAGATGCAGCAAGATTGCTTCTTGGAGGTAAAGATGATGAAGCTTTGTCTCTTAGCCTTCATCTTGTTGCTAGGAGAAGCTATTCCGTGGAGGGGGATGTCATGCTTGGAAAGGCTGAGGGTTAGCGAAACAGAGGACGACCCTCAATGAGATGGTGCAGCAGTGGGATTAAGTGTGTCAGAGTTGATGAGGATGGCAAAGCATTGGACAGGGTTCTCGTCTTCTCTTCATAAGGTTGCTGTGAGTTATATTCCCCTAACAACATCAGCACGTTTATTATGGATGAGCATACTGTTACAGGCTTACCTTTTAGGATATGGGCCGCCAAACTGAGCAGTTAGCTTCCTTTTATAATCTTCCATTTCATACTCCACAGTGATCCCACTACAGTTTAACTCTTAATAACACGATGCAATAATTAAGTGCCCTAAAACATGAACTGACATGGAAGTTTTCTAAGAGTGCACGTCTTGTATTTTTTTTTCCTCTTTAGTAAAGCCATCAATAAAGCCTATGAAGAGTATGTTTTATCTGTTGGAAATTTAGATGAACGGATATTTCTTGGTGATGATGCTGAGGAGGAAATTGGGACTCTCTCAAGGTGTCTGAACGCTGGCTCCGGAACGGAGAGTGCTGAGAGGGTCCAGGTGAAGAACATCTTACAGCAGCACTTTGACAAGGTTAGTGGAGCCATTCCTGAAGCAGAGGAATAAAGAACCTGACATGCAAGAGGGTCTATTTTATTTTTATAGTACAGTATTTTTTCTTTTCCTTGCCTCCAGTAGGAAAAACGGAAAATCTTACATTTCTTAATTGTAAAAGTTTTCTTTCTTTATTTTTTCATATCAGCTTTCAAACATTTAGGTTAGGTCTAAAAAAGGTCCAATCTAATAGAAAACTAAGTTTGTATATTGTGCAGTTGGCTTTGAAAGGATGGGCCAGTAAGTTATACTTTATATTAGATACGGTGGGGATTTAGAAAAGTAAAAGAACCTGAATTGGTGCCTTCACTCAGGAGACCAGAGGAGAAATTGAGACTTTGGTCTCTAAGAAAATGATACTGAGTTTCAGGGTCCTAAGTGTCATAACAAACAAACCTTTTTTTTTTAAATTTTTTTTTATAACAATTCTTTTTTTTTTAAATTTTTATTGTATTATTTTTACGTGTACCGTCAAATCAGATCTGACTGGTACAGGAGGAGATTGCCCTCTCCTTCTCCAGCAGAGCACCTGGTGGATTTGAACCGTGTACCTCTGGGATTGCAGTACAGCGTCTTGCCACTAGGCCACCATAGCTCCCTTTGGAACAATTCTTTAATTTACTTGTTTCTTGGATGTAAACCTGGTAGACAAATAAACATTTAAGATCTGAGGAAGAGAGCAAGACACTCAACCAGATGGATTGACTCAGTAATTACCGCATTGGGCTCGAGTATGTCAGATTGTGAGGATGGCACAGGACAGGACAGGACAGGTTCACTTTCTATTGTTCATTGGGTTGATATACTTAACTCAACAGCACCTAACAACAACAGTCCCTGTAATAGGGAGCTCTTGTGGCATAGTTTGTAGCATGTCATGCTGCTAACCAAAATGACACACATGTCTGACAGTTCAAATCCCACCAGTGACTGTGAGGGAAAAGGATGGATGGTCTCTTCCTGTTAAGCTTTATAGCTCCAGAATCCCAACGGAGGGTCCCTATGAGTTGGAATCAATTTGATGGCAGTGAGAGACGTTTGTTTGGGAAAACTAGAAAACGTTGTCTATTAGCATATTAGCATATGTCATTTTCATGATTATTTGAATGTTGGCATAAGAAAAAAGTTCAATAGATTTTAGTAACTAAAGGCAAGGCGCTGGTGCTGAAATCCTGAGGAGTTGCTCTGGCTCTGCCTCTGGTGGTGAAAATTCATGAGCGGCTCCTCTAGAGAAAGGTGGACAGGCCCCTCCCACGAGATTCAGTCTGACCAGACAGCAGTTAGCACGGTGCAGTTTAATAAAGGCAGGACACATGTGATGCTTTTGTGAACTTTGATTAAAATGATGTCTCATTTGGCCCAATTTAATGCGTAACTTTCATTATAAATATTTGTGTATTTGCAAAAATAGAGGCAGATGGAACCATGAAATTTTGTTTCTCAGAGATGAGAATGGTCATCTTTTTTTAAAAAATTACTTTTATTTTTTATTGGTTTGCATACACAATTTGTATAGACTGTTTTGTTTCTGTACCTTGTGATGTGATTCACCCTTTCCTCTATTCACAGAGATTGATCATCTTTTTAAAGTGAATGTAATGTTACCCTTTCTTTGGACTTTTAATTTGGGGAAATAGAGAGTGGAGGTTCTTATTTCAAGATTAACTTTTAAGAGATAGTCTTGGTCACGGAGTTTGGTGGATATAGGGAAGGGGTGGGAGACTCCAAAACAATGTACATGAATGAAAGACAATGCAAACAAATGATTGTATGCAGACCAATTAAAAAATATTTTTTTTTCAAACAGAGATAATCCTGTAGTTGGCCTAATAACAAATTGTCCTTTCAGACATCTTCACGTGGAAAGATAATGGCAACTCTTAGCATTTGTATGTTTAAATTATAAGAATTTTTCTATTTAGGAAAAAAACCCAAAAAAGAATGTTTCTATGTGAAATTTAGTGACATTTGTAAAGATCAAATTTTATTTGACTTGAACTCTCTATTTTGCAGCAACTGAAAATATTTGTAACTTGAAATAATGTTCTCCCTCCTCCCTCATTTTTCTCATATAGTCTAAAACACTTAGGATCTCCACACCACTTACTGGGATAAGATACGTCAAGGAGAACAGCCCTTGTGTGACTTCAGTTTCCACAGCTACGCATAGCTTGAGTCGTCTTCACACCATGCTAGCAGGTCTCAGAAATGCACCAAGTGAGAAACTGGAACAGATTCTAAGGTTAGTTTGAGCTCTATTTCCTTTCCAGATTTGCTTGTTGATAATTTTCCAACTTTGTACTATTAGTGCCTTAATTATCCATTAATCTTAATTGTTCTTATTGTTGTTGTTATGTGCCGTCGAGTCGCATGCGACTCATAGTGACCCTGTGTACAACAGCCCTAAACCCCGCTCTATCCTGTGCCAATCACGCTGTCTCTGACACTCCCATCCCTATTATCCCAGTCACTGAATCAATCCACCTCATAGAGGGCCTTCCTCTCCTGCGCTGTCCCTCCACCCTCCCAAGCATGATGTCCCTCTCCAAGGACCGGTCCCTCCTTACAACATGTCCAAAGTATGTTAGACAGAGCCTCAGAATCCTTGCCTCCAAGGAGCCACCCGGTTTAACCCTTTCCAGGATGAATCTGTTTGTTTTCCTAGCAGTCCATCTTAATTAGTGAACTTTATATTAATGTTGTCAGTTGCACACTCAGTCCTGGATAAATACTCTATCAGATGCACAACTAGGAGATCCTCTTTCCTAAGGTTTCTTTAATCTAGGGTAGGAGATAACAACAAACAGCACTACACACAATAGAATAAGACACAAACGTAACATCATTGACTGTTTAGGCTGAAGAATTCAGGGAAGGGAGAGATTAGACTTTGTGAAGAAAACTGGACCTAAGCAAAATTCTGAATGGTTGATCAGATTTTAAAAGACAAAGGGAAGTCCAACACATTGAGAAAACAAAACCACTGTAACTTTTCTAAGTTCTTTACATCTCACTTAGCCAGCAGAGAGAGTGTGCTGTCTTTGCTTCCTCTGAGTTCTCTATGACTAGCAGGAATGCCAGTGAGCATAGTGAACAGCACTCCAGACTGTGTCCTTTGACGTTTGCTTAGCCTTTGCCAACCTGATTTGGAAAAAAAAAATTACCTCAAGAAACCTCCAAGCTCTTAAAGTTTATGATATGATGGCATAGAAGCCTGTAGCACATTTACTTTATTTATTTATATATGATATCAAGAAAGCCCTGTGTACATCCATTCATAATTTCCCACTCAAAGCTGGGCTCCCCTGGAGAAAGATGGGCAGTCTCCTTCCATGAGATATACATCCTCAGAAAACAGAAAAAGTAATGCTTTGCATTGCAATACTGAAGGATTCTATGGACACAATACTGAATGATGCAAGAAGCATCAGAAGAAAATGGAAGAAGCGAGCTCTGGTGGCTTAGTGGTAAGGAATTACGCTGACAACCCAAAGGCACACGGTTCGAGTTCACAAGCTGCTCCACAGGAACAAGATGGGTGGTCTCCTTTGGTGTGATTTACGGCTTCTGAAAACCAACCCACTGGAGAGTCAGCTGTGAGTCAGTTCTGACTTGAGGGCACATAATAACAACAAACAGAATCACCGTACTGAAAAGACTTATCCAACACAGCCATTTCTGTATGAAGAATGTGACATCAGGATTGGAGGATAAGTCATTACATAATCTTTATTATACAAATGAATATGTTAGTGAAATACAAAGTTTTAAACAGTTTTACTTCATAACTTGGCCAGACTTTAAATTAGATCATTTCTTACTACCTGTTTTAGGTCATGTTCCAGAGATCCAACTCAGGCTATTGCTAATAGATTAAAAGAAATGTATGAAATATATTGTCAGCATTCCCAGCCAGATGAAGAGACCAGTAATTGTGCAAAAGGTAAGGTTTAATATTGTCTTTACTCCACTCTTTTCAGAATTGAACTCCGTGGAGCATTTTGTTTTTTTGTTTTTTTGTTTTTCTATAATTATATTTTATTAATTTTCATAAACATTTACAGAGATTTTGGGCTTCCACTCATTCATTGTTGCACTATTCTCTCTACCCTCCTCCCAGTTTGTTCTTGTCCAAATGCCACAGTGCTTGTCAAAGCCAGTTCTGATTAATCTTCTTTGTCAGTGTATCCTTTGCCATTCCCTATCACTCCTCCCTGAGAGAGACTTCACCCTGAGTCATAAGGAAAAGGGGACAGCGTATTCTCTTAGCTACTTCCTGCTGAAAAGGGACGCTGTGGGTTTCAGGGTGAAGATCTTCTCTCACTTCCCGTGGAGCATTTTGTTGGATACTTGTTGAAACATTGGGGAAGACATTTATGTCTTAAGACTAAAGACAAGAGTAGGATTACCAAGGTTTTTTCCTCCACCTTCGTAAAAGAGACATTTTAGACTGATATTCTTAGTACATTGGAGTTCTGATACTTTTTCCTTTGCAAAATTTTAAAAATTTCATTTGTAGAACAGTTAAATATAAGTATTGCGAATCTTCAGTATTTTAAGAAATAAAAGGAAGAAAAGCTATAAAGGTTTCATATCCAAAGTTAACTTGGGAATTGTTTGATATCCTGAATGGAACTAAGTAGATGGAATAACAGACTAAGTCCATGTTTCCATGTATAAAGCTCGTTTATTAAAACATAAAGAGGCAAAAAAAGGTGGATTCCTATTGGCTTATTACAGTCATCACTGTGCATAACAGTGAAGCTTCAGTTCAGCAGTCAGAACATGAAGGACTTGTAAGGGTGACCTACACCCAGTTTCTCTTTACAAGCAGAATGATTGAAGCTGTAGACAGTACATGTTTAATTCGTTTTCATATTTGTGGGATTCACAAGGGGAAAAGGAGTCAGCCTTTGTTATCCTCTCTATATATATTCTTTTGAGAAAAGATTTCTTTTCTTACATGTGATTTTTCTATTTGTGTTATTCCTACAGAAATTGCCAGCAAATACTTTCGTTTTGCAGAGATACTTTACTATAAAGTATTAGAAACAGTTATTGAGCAGGAACAGAAAAGACTGGGAGACATGGATTTATCTGTGAGTAAAATAGCCAATAAAAAGAGATTTCTTCCTGGCCTCTTGAGGAAATGATGTGTAGCTTTAAGGGAATAAGATTGGCATCAAAGCAAGTAACTTTCTGAGCTTTTTGACCTTCAGGCCTCCAGGAAGTATGTCTCCAAAAACAGGTTATGAATTCTGACTTAACAGTATCTGTGAGTAGGCAGGCTCTGTGGTCAGAGATGAAGACATTCAGTATTAAGCCTAATTGAGTTTTAAATAACTTGGGGAGATTTTATTCAGATGTTATATAGCCAGGGTAAATTGAGTGGAAGTCACATTAACATAAATATCCACTCATTCCACTTTGGCTAAGACAATCCTTTTGTCCTAAACTCTTAATTTTACTAATTGAGAAATGGAAATTATTTTTTAAACAAAGGGGTTTTGCTTTTAGTCATGTAATTTTTTAATTAAAGACACGTTTATATAAAATCTTGGATAATTACAAGAAGAAGTGAAAGTCATAATCAAACTATGCTGCTCTGAGGTTACATGTTGACTTTGAGATCAATCTTTAAGGAGAGCTGCCTTCAATCTTTAAATGACAATGGCTGCTTAATGTAAATTATTTTATAACACCTTTCTTCATCATTATTCTAAGCTTCAGGGTTTTTTTGTTTGTGGATTTTATCATTGATTTTAATATGCAGTATAATCTATCAATATGTGTTTTCACAAGTGTTTATGAATTTCTTTAGTAATATATTTTGATAACAATGAGGTTATTTAGTAAGCTAAATGTTTTATGAGAAAAAAGAGCATATACTTCTCACTAACTCAGAAAATAGAACTTCTCAAAACAACTAACTGTGAGATGCCATCCCAGCCCAGTAACAATACCAAAGTTTAATAGAGCAGCAAACAACAAATGCTGGTGAGGTTGTGGAGAAACTGTAACCTTTAGTCACTGTTGGTGGGAATGTAAAATGGTGCAACCAGTGTGGAAGCATGGTACTTTCTCAAAAAGTTGGAAATAGAAATACCATTTGACCTAGCAATTCCACCACTGGGAATATACCCTAACGAAACCAGAACTGCCACCCAAACAGATATATGCACGCCTATGTTTATTGCTGCATTGTTCACAATAGCAAAGAGATAGAAACAAGTGCCCATCAATGAACTAATAGATAGAGAAGTGGTATATTCACACAATGGAATACTACACAACACTGAAAACAAGGAACTTTAAAAATATTATACAAAATGGGTGACCCTGGAGGACATTATGCCAAGTGAAATATCTCAGTTACAAAAGGACAAATATTGCATAATACCATTGTTATAAAACAGGTCTGACATGAGGGTTGGGAGAACTAAGAAAAGAGGGGATAAATAATGAACACTGCATTGAAATAGATGGAGGAAAGAACTGTTTAAAAGGAATATATAATAAGGTATTATTGGCATGTAAACAGTCTAGAATAAGAGGTGCATAGAAACGTAGACTGGGTCAAGGGGTGGAGGGGGAAGAGATGGAGAAAATTGTGCAACAGTGAGAAAAGCTGACCTGGGGGGCTATGGAGGAAAATGTACAACAATGAATGAATGGAAATCCATGTTCTCTGTAAACTTCCGTTAACAATCTCAATTTAAAAAAAGTGTAAAAAAATAGAATATAACTTCTGTGGTATTTTTAAAACACGAATTGCATTGGGAAAGTCTGCTGTCAGAGACCTCTCCAAGATACTGAGGGGCAATGGTGTCAGTCTGGAGACTAAGGTGCGCCTGATACAGGCCATGATCTTTGCAATTACTTGCTATGCATCAGAAAGCTGGACAGTGACTAGGGATGATAGAAGGAGAGTTGATGCCTTTGAGCTTTGGTGCTGGAGAAGAGTGTTGAGTATAGCGTGGTCTGCTAGGAGAACAAACAGGTTTGTCCTGGAGAGGGTAAAGTTGGGCTGCTCCTTGGAGGCAAGGATTCTGAATCTACGTCTGACATACTGTGGACATGTTGCAAGGCGGGATCAGTCCTTGGAGGGGGACGTCATGCTTGGGAGGGTGGAGGGACAGCACAGGAGAGGAAGACCCTTGATGAGATGGATTGATTCAGTGACTGGGGTAATAGGGATAGGCGTGTCGGAGACAATAAGATTGGCAAGGGATAGAGCAGGGTTTAGGGCTATTGTACATAGGGTCACTATGAGTTGCAAGCTACTTGACGACACATAATACCACTACCGCCACCAATGGAAAAGAAAATATAATAAGCTAATGTTTCTAAATGTTAATAAATTTCCTTTTTAGGGCATTCTGGAACAGGATGCATTCCATAAATCGCTTGTGGCCTGCTGCCTTGAGGTCATCACTTTTTCTTACAAGCCTCCAGGGAATTTTCCATTTATCGCTGAAATATTTGATGTGCCACTTTACCATTTTTATAAGGTATTTTTACAAATCCGATATTGGTGAGGAAATTGTGGATGAGAAGGACTTCCTGTTGTTAGTCATTTAGTTTATGTTTAAATGGCACTATGTTCATCCTGTATTTAATAATCTCTCTTTGGGGAACAGAAGAAATGGAACAATCATAAGCACTATATAAATTTTTAATATAGCATGGAAGTCTTACTTTGTTTTAAAATATTATTCATTCTTTTCTTTATAGCTAATTAAAGCTTGTCTAGTACGATGGCTTCTGAGCCAAGGCATTTTAATAAAAGGAAGTAGTTTGCACATCACTAGCTTATTTTGTAGAGTAGCTTCTATCAGGTCGTCTACAAGCAGCTACAGTCAGACAGCCAGGACTGTACCATTCACCATACATAGATGTTTTGGTGGATATGGGTGTGGTAGGGGATATATTTCTGCATTTATATTGTGAAGCTCTGGTGTCATAGTGGTAAGAACCTGTGCTGCAATCCTGAATGCATGTGGTTCGAATTCACCAGCTGCTCTGAGGGAGGAGGGGCAGTCTCTTCCCATGTGATTGCTTGCCTCTGAAAACCCACTGGAGGGCCAGCTGGGGTTGGTTCTGACTCACCGGTACTCAACAACGACTGTAACAAAGAATATATGAGCTCTGGTGGCCTTTCGGTTAAATGCTTTGTTGCAACCCTGAAGGCATGCAATATATATATATATATGTACAATATATATGTTGTTGTTGTTTGTTGTGTGCTATCCAGTTGGAACTGACCCATAGCTGACCCTCTGGTGGGTTTTCAGAGGCATTTTAATCACGAGGAAGTAGGTTGCTCATCTTTCTCCCAAAGAGCATCTGCTGAATTTGAACTGCATGCTTTTAAGATTGCAGCGTAGCTTCTTGCCATTAGGCCACCAGAGCGCCCAACTACTCACAATAGAAAGGTAAAAAGTAATCTTAACTTTCATACCATGTTGCTGCTGTTGTTTACTGCTGAGTCAGAACTGACTCGTAGCTGACCCTCCAGTGGGTTTTCAGAGGCAGTAAATCTCACAGGAGGAGATTCCTCATAGTGTCATAGATTTGCATGTTTAGTTTTTCAGTATGAAATTTTAAGATTAATTTTTATCCTGAATTATATTGAGGATAAATGTTTTATTGAAATAATTGAAATACATTACTATATAAAGTTTATTTATAATTTGTGTGTAGAATTTAATAACTGTTACATGAACCAAAATATTTTTATCTGTTTCAGGTCATAGAAGTTTTCATTAGAGCAGAAGATGGCCTTTGTAGAGAGGTAGTAAAGCATCTTAATCAAATTGAAGAACAGATTTTAGACCATTTGGCATGGAAATCAGAGTCCCCACTGTGGGACAGAATTAGAGACAATGAAAATAGAGTTCCTACATGTGAAGAGGTTTGTGACAATTTCTTAAGATCTGTTTGTAAGAAAATACATCAATATTTAGACTACTTATAATCCCCTTTTATAGAGGATAACAAAGTGTAATTTTCTTTGAGGACAGGAGGGATACAGTTGGTTTAATCATTCTATACAAAAAAGGAAACAGGAGTCATAGAAATAATTTGGGAATACTTCAAAGTTTTGGTCAACATTAAATACTCAGTGTCCACTCTATTTTTCTGACCAAATTTCTAAACCTTGAAGTAGTAGATAATCTGATTCTCTGGATTAATCATGAAGATTAATTTATATTTAGTAAATAGTTATCAGGATTTGAATTTTCCAGAAATTTAACTTTAGCATAAAAGTGGAAAAATTGACTGCTTTTCTTTAGTTTGAAAAACTTATGAGTCAAATTTTGTTTCTTCTTGACATTATTAAGGAGCTCTGCTGGGTATTATTAATGTGTTAAGTGATTTTCTGAATATTAGCTTTTCGTGTAAACCTTTCTTTAAAGGTTATGCCACCTCAGAACCTGGAAAGAGCAGAAGATGTTTGTCTTGGTAACTCCCCTCTGACTCCCAGAAGGGTGAGTGAAATCCGTGCTGATTCTGGAGGGATTGGAAGAAGTAAGTTTGACATACATGGGGGAATGCTTTGGACAATTAAATATCTGAGAATTTAAATTTCATCTAAATTTGCTGATAAAGCTATCATAGAGCAAATTGGTGCATTACTGCACTACACAGATCACTAAAAGTAATGCTTCTAAGGAATATTCAGGAAACCAGAAACATACATGGGTTAACTTTTTTTAAAAAGAAGAGGCTAAAATACTCTATATTTAATGGGATTCCTGACTTTAAGCATTTGCACATTTTTGTTGTCTTGATTTTTTTAAAACAATTCTATACCATTATTATGGAGTGATAAAATTCTAGGTGATTTCTGTTCTAATTTCTTTTTACTCATACAAACACACACACTTATGTACACTTATATTGACAAGAAATAGTACCATTTTAAAGGATGATACTGCAAAGCTGCATAGATCATCTGCGTACAGACAGACCAGTTAATTAAGAGGACTGTGTGGCCGGACAGGTTCAGCTTTGACATCGGCTGAGATGTGCTCCAGTGACACTTGTCATTGTGAGATAGCAGTGCTGGTCTAAGCAGTGCAGAGAAAGGAAGCTTTGTCATGCACCTGCCCTACAATCAAGGCATTGCTGGGAAGATCGATCAAGTGCCGAGTTTTAGATAACATACCATCTCCAGATAGAGCCAGCTTTTAAAGAATAATTCTATAAATCCAGAGTTCTAAAAACTAGAATGCTGGTAGAAAGATATTATTGTTTATAGATTAGTGGGTTGTTGTTTTTTTAAAAAAAATTATTATAATTTTAATGATAGTGTACATGAAATTTGGATTTTTTATTCATTTATTGTTGCACATTTTCCTTCCTACTCCCCCATTTGCTGTTTTTGTTTTGTTATATATTTGTTTATAAATATAATTGGTTAGTACTGAGCGGAGCAGAAAGATCAATTTTAGAATCAGGTGTTACTCAAACTGAATGTAAACCTAATTAAGAATGATCTAATGAAAACGTCCTCATTTCTGAAAGAGCAGTTATAACAGCTCAACTGATTTTCTGATTATTATCAACTCCGACCCGTGGATCTTGGTTGTATTTCTACAGAGTGTTTTCCTTCACAAGTCTATTGATTACTATTTGGCGTTAAATTTAATTTTATATTTGTGTATTCACTTACCTGTTTTCCTGAAGCATCATACCACGTGGTCCTGTGGATGGCCATTTAGCTCAGCTAGTCAGAGCATGATGCTGTTTTCCTGAGAGCTTGTAATATCTTCTGACAAAACATATTAGATCATAGCAGTCATAATGCATTCTTTATTACTGTGTAGCTTTGTATTAACTATATGATGATTGGATTGAATCAAAACCAATACCTATCCTTTTTAAAGAACAGTGTTGGGTTTTAGTAATTTTGTATATGCAGAAAATGACAACAAAGATGAATGTGTATGTCTAAGACTTGGAGAAACTGCTCCCAGGTCATACCACGTAGTACCATCACATCTTCTTCTCGAGAGGTGACTATCTTCAGTGACATTACTTCTTATTTTACAAAATAGAGTTTAGCCTGATACATAAAAAGAGAATTATTTCAGGGAGCTCAGGTGGCCTAGTGGCAAGACGCTGCACTGCAATCCCAGAGGTACACGGTTCAAATCCACCAGATGCTCTGCTGGAGAAGGAGGGGGCAATCTCCTCCTGTACCAGTCAGATCTGATTTGACAGTACACGTAAAAATAATACAATAAAAATTTTAAAAAAAGAAAAAAGAATAATTTCTTAATTTCCCCCAAATCATCAGTAGTAATAGTTGATAGTTGAAGCCTGTAGTAGTTGAAGCCAAATTTACTTTGATTTATGCAAAGGTGGAGTTAAGTAATGAGGGACAAAAAACTCTTTGTTACTTTTGCTCTTACCCATGTTCAGCTGAATTTTCTTTAGCTGAAAACAGCTATGATGTAACTCTTATAATTTGTCTTTTAAATTGTGAAGTATAAAAAAAAAAAATTGTGAATTATCCAAAAACACTAAATTAGTTTTGATGGTAATAGTTCAAATAGAAGCTAGTTCTTCAATTTCCTTGGCTTAAAAGTTTGGGTTTTTTTTGTTTTGTCCCCAGACATAACATCCCCAGCCACCTTATATGACAGGTATAATTCCCCAACAGCCAGCACTACCAGAAGGAGGCTATTTGTTGACAGTGATAACCCCTCTGAGGGAGGGACCCCTGGCCGGATTCCCCCACAGCCTGTGGTCAACGCTGTCCCAGTGCAGAATGTGTCTGGGGAGGCTGTTTCTGTCACACCAGTTCCTGGACAGACATTGGTCACCATGGCCACAGCCACTGTCACAGCCAACAACGGACAAACAGTGACCATTCCTGTACAAGGTAAGGATAGCAGAGTTGGATACTGAATTCCTTTCTTATGACATCTAGTGAAAAGACCTTATAGATCAGAGGAATATTGATTGGAACACTGTAAGAGTAAAGATGTTTGTTGTTGTTTATATATGCTGTCAGGTCGCTTGGGACTTATAGCAACCCTGTGTACGACAGCCTTAAACCCTGCTTTATCCTGTGCCAATTTATTGTCTCTGACACTCCTTCCCTTGTTACCCCAGTCACTCAATCAGTCCATCTCACTGAAGGTCTCCTCTCCTGTCCCTCCACCCTCCCAAGTATGACATCCTTCTTCAAGGACTGGTCCCTCTTTGCAACATGTCCAGAGTATGTCAGACGAAATATCAGAATCCTTGCCTCCAAGGAGCAGCCTGATTTTACCCTTTCCAGCACAAACTTGTTTGTTCTTTTAGCCGTCCATGGTCTGTTCAGTACTCCAGCAGCACAGCTCAAAGGCGTCAATGCTCCTTCTGTCATCCCTAGTCATGGTCCAGCTTTCTGACGCATAGCAAGTAATTGCAAAGACTATGGCCTGGATCAGGTTGCTTTTCAGTACTTTGGGGAGGTCTCTGACAGCAGACTTTCCCAAAGCAATTAGTCTTTTAATTTCCTGGCTGCTGGTACTTGTATTTTATTGATAATGCAGAAACATTTGACTCTGTGGATCTTAAAAAATTATAGCTAACATTTAGAAGAATGGAAATCTGAAAATGCTTAATTGTGCTTATGGAAAACCTATCCATAGACCCAGAAGACCAGTTATCCAAATTACATAGTTTAAAATCAGAAAAGGTATACGACAGGATTGTATTCATTAAGAAGCTGGACTATATGAGGAACAATATTGCATCAGGATTTGAGGAAGATGCATCAGCAGCTTGTGTTATGCAAATGACACAACCTTGGTTATGGAAAGTGAGGCTTGAGGCACTTGCTGCAGAAGATCAAAGATTACAGCCTTCAATATGGGTTCCATCGCAAGGAAACAAAAGTCTTTACCACTGGACCAATAGGCAACATCATGATAGACGTAGACAAGACTAAGTGTCAGTGATTTCATTTTATTGGATCCACAATCAACACCCATGGTAGCAGCAGTGAAGAAATCAAAAGTTGTGTTGCTTGGAGAAGTTTGCTAGTAAGGAGCTCTCCAAAATTCTAAAGAGCAAGGATGTCAGTGTAAAGATGAAAATGCACCTGAGCCAGGCCATGGGATTTTCAGTTCCTTCCTTTGCATCTGAAAAGTGGACAATATGAATGAATAAAGAAGTCTGACAAAGAATCATGCCTTTGAATTATGGTGTTGGCCAAGAGTACTGAATGGACTGCTAAACGAACAAACCAATATTTTTGGGGTTTTTTTTAAAGTATAATTTTGGTTTTCTTTTCAGATGAGTTTTTTTTCTTGAGCCTTTAAGGAATCCAATCCTTCCATGGGCTTTGGTGGTGGCCATGCGGCAGCACCTACAGGTCTAAACCTGGGTGGAGGTGTTCTGTCCTTCGGGCTTTACGAGGACGGTTCCTCACCACCTTGCTGTCCACGGCACAACCCACACAGTTGTGTAGTGTCACAAGGAGCTTGGGAAGTACATATGCGTCGAAAACACTCACTTCAGAAATGTCCCTGATGGCAGCTGCTTCTATTATATTTTGAATTATGAACTTGTTAATTGCCTTGTCTTTGGGCACGCACCGGGCGCAGTTCACGTAGTGAATAGGCTGCATGTGGCCATGGTCCTTTTTTGGCACGAGTGTTGTTTCTTCTTTTCTCTGTCATCTTGGAAGCGAGGGCCTGAGAAAGGAAAACCAATTACGTTTTGAATAAGTGGAGCCAGAGTGCTCCTTAGAGGCAAGGATGGTGAACACTTTGTCTCAGTGACTTTGGGCTTAATTTAAGGAGGAACAGTCCTTAGAGACAGCACTCCGGGAAGAGTGAGTGAAAGAGAGGAGAACTCCACATGATGGATTGCCAGTGACTGCTGCAGTGGGCTTGAGCAGAACAGAGGTCATGAGCATGGCACAGGCTTCGGATACAAGTCTTTTGTTCATAGGTCACTATGAGTTGTAGTCGACTTGATAATACCTAACAATAGAAAAGAAAAAAAACAAGAGTAAAGATTGCAAACTCTTCCTAGAGAACCTAGTAAAATGTTACCAGCATTTTTGTTGTGTTTACTTTTTCCTTCCTTCGTGTGTAACAAACTTTAGGTATTGCCAATGAAAATGGAGGGATAACATTCTTCCCCGTCCAAGTGAATGTTGGAGGGCAGGCCCAAGCCGTGACTGGTTCACTTCAGCCCCTCAGCGCTCAGGCCCTGACTGGAAGTCTGAGCTCTCAACAGGTGACAGGATCAGCTTTGCAGGTTCCAGGTCAGATGGCCATTCAACAGATTTCCCCAGGTGGCCCTCAGCAGAAACCAGGACGACCTTTAAGCGGCAGCAGTGTTAGACCCAGGAAGACCAGTTCTTTATCACTTTTCTTTAGAAAGGTAATCTGTCCTGTACTGTTATCAGAGGGTGAGCTTGGGGTACTGTGAGTTTTAAATAAAGACATTTCACACTTGATCTGCCTACTAGGTATACCACTTAGCCGCCGTCCGCCTGCGGGATCTTTGCACTAAGCTAGATATTTCAGATGAACTGAGGAAAAAAATCTGGACCTGCTTTGAATTCTCCATAGTTCAGTGTCCTGAACTTATGATGGACAGACATCTGGACCAGCTGTTAATGTGTGCCATTTATGTGATGGCAAAGGTGAGTATGCCAAGGAAAAGAGTATCAGACAGACAGAGTCCAGACAGAGTCTACTTTGATACTTCTTAAACAGTTTTAACAGTAATATTGAGATATAGTTCATATACCATGTAATTGACTCAGGCAATATGTACAGTTCAGGGTTTTTTCAAGAATGTTCTCAATTATGTGCGGTCATCCCACAATGTTAGGACATTTTCATCACCACCAAAAGAAGGCTGTATACCCTTCTGTTGTCACATGTGACAGAATCCCACCTAAATCCCAAGCAACCCCTAGTCTGCTGTCTGCCACTGTAGATTTACTTAACCTGGACAGTTCATATAAAGGAAGTCATAAAATAGACAATCTTTTATGATGACAGTAATCTTTTACAAACTCATGCATGTTCTAGCATGTGTCGATATTTCAGTCCTTTTACTGCTGAATAATTTTCCGTTGCGTGGCTATTAGTAGGGAGCTCTGGTACCCAACTGGTAAGGAGCTGTGCTGCCATCCCAAAGGCACCGTTCAAATCCACCAGCTGCTCCTCAGGAGAAGAATGGGCTTTCTCCTCCCAGGCGATTAAACAGCCTCTGAAAACTCACCGGAAGATCAGCTATGGGTTGTTTCCAACTTGACAGTATACAGCAATAACAACAATGGCCTTTTGAAACTTGGATATACTTGCTTCTGTGAAAGACTCACATTAGTACCTGTTTTCACTAACTCAAAAGAAGTCTGAAGAGGGTTTTCAACTTTTCTGGGGAAAGACCAGAAACAAAACTAGCATTCAGCAATTATTTTGTAAGAAGCTATTACCATGAGTGGTGTTACTTAGTTCGTTCCTAAGACTGCTTATACCCTGCTTCTCACCATTATGTTAGCTTGGAAGTGTGTCTGTGAGCCTATATATGAGTGTTAAGTTTTTGTTATTTGGTATTCTATTTTGGGGTGATCTTCTGACTCTGAAATCTATTGCAGTGACCACACAGTTTCACAGAACTAGACTCACAGCTATGGAGTTTATTACAGAAGGGAACAGGTTACAATTCAGGCTGGCAGCAGGATATAGTTCTTAAGTCCAGATAGCTTCTTAAGGTAGTTGCCAGCCCTTTGACCTTTAGCATCATGGCTTAGGTCAATATTAAAAAGTTTCCTTTCCAAATATCCCAAAAAAAAAATAAAAAAAAATAAGTTTCCTTAGTTCTGCCAGTTACAGTGTCTTCCATCATTCCTACAGTAAATTTGGCTGAAAGACCCTGGCGCTGGTCCCATGAGGCAGCAGTCAGTCCCAAGTCAACTGTTTGCTGCTGTTCACGTGTAGGTCTTGTTCTGAGTGGCACAGGACTCTGGCTCCAAGGCACATATGCTGCACTCTCTACTTCCTGTTTCTTCACTAGTGCAATTCCTACCTTAACTGCTAAATCTCCTCAGTTTAACTTGATAGGACTGGAAAAACTAATGTCATTATGTTTATATACACCCTATTGTAAGCTCCCACTCACTTACATAGTGGAAGTCTGAGTGGATGGCTAGAAAAGCCATTCTGAACAGGAAACCCTCGACCATCACAAATGTAAACCACATTGAAGGCTGTGGTCTTGGATGATTTTGTAAGTCCTTCAGCTCTTTTCCCCTTTCTGCAAGCATGGCTGGGCCATCTGCAGAAAGCAAGTTGTTGATCAGTCTTCCTCCAGTCTTGATGCCACATTCTTCATGTAATCCAACTTGTCAAATTATTTGTTTCACCTACAGATTGAATAGGCATGGAGAAAGGGTATAATCCTGATATACACTTTTCTTGATTTTAAATCATGCATTGTCCTGTTGTTTTATTTGGACAGTTGTTTCTTGATCTATATATATAAGTTTTACTTTTTATTTTCTGTGTCTCATGTCTTTTTTTGGTTTTTTTATGCCTTCATTGCTTTCTTTTCCATTAATTGGAAATTTTATAGTATCATTTTGTAATGTCTTTTGTTTTTTGCCACTGATTTCCTTAGAGGAGGTTTAGAATGTATGTCTTTTCAGAATCCACTTCCGGTGGTATACTAACTCTAATAAAACTCAGAAACCTTGCTTTTTAATAGTTTTATTCAGCTCTTCATCTTTTTACATTATGATTGTGCTCACCAGTCTATGCCAGTAAATTTGGAGGGTATTTCTCTGGCTGGCGGACTGGGAGAGATCCTTATTTGTCCTCATTCCCAAGAAAGGTGATCCGACAGAATGTGGAAATTATAAAAAATATCATGAATATCTCATTCAAGAAAAATAGTGTTGAAGAGCATTCAAAAGTGGCCATATCAGTAAAAATAAATAAAGAAAGAAAGAAAGAAAGAAGTGACCAGACCATATATTCACAAGGAACTAACAGTAGTACTAGCTGGGTTTAGAAAAGGCTGTGGCACCAGGGATATTATTGCTTTATATCAGATGGATCCTGGCTGAAAACAGAATATTAGAAGAATGTGCATTTTATTGACTATGCAAAGGCATTTGACTGCATGGATCATGACAAATTATGGCTCACATTGAGAAGAATGGGAATCCCAGTACACTTAATTCTGCTTATACACAATCTATAACTAGATCGAGAAGCTGTTGTGCAACAGAGCAAGGGCAGACTGCATGTTTTAAGATCAGGAAGGGTGTGCGTCAGGGTTGTATCCTTTCTCCACACCGGTTTAACCTATATGCTGAGCAATGGAGATACTGTTATCTTAATTTGGGATCCTTGTAAATAAAAAGTTGCTTTTCTCCTGCTGTTTTCCAAGACATTCTCCCTATCAGCAGCAGCACACATCTCATTATAGTGTGACTCTTTCTGGGATTTCTGAATTTCTCTTACTTGGAATTTGTTGTGCTTCACAGATGGGTACATTCTATTTCCTAATAAATTAAAGATGCTTTCAGTCATTCTTTCCTATCACTCCTTTCTCTTCTGCTTCCGGTACTGTACCATTTTGTTTATTTGGTTTCTTAGGGTCAAACGCATTTCTCAGGGGCACCATTCATTTTTCATTTTTACCCTCTCCTTTTCGGGTCATTTAATCACCATCACTCTTTTCCAGCTTCATTTTCTTCCTTCTACGTCACAAGAAATTATGTTGAGTCTCTCTAGTGGACATCAGTTATTGTTAGTTTCAACTCCAGAATTTCTGTGCACTTTTAAAAATACTCTTAATTGATATTCTGTATGATGTAACAGTATCATTATACCTGTTTTTGGTCATTTTCATTTAGTTCTTTGAGTACGCATCTATAAAGTTGTTCAATCTACCGTCTAAAGGTAGGTGTGTCAGAGACAGTGACATTGGCTCAAGACAGGGCAGGGTTCAGAGCTTTTGTACATAGGGTCACTATGAGTTGCAATCAAGTTGATGGCACATAACAACATAGGGCCATTACAGATACTTTCAACTGTTGTGTTTTTTAACAAAACATTTTTCACTGTTCTCACTTGATAAGGGATCCACAGTTCCTTGTGCTATTTTTCTAGGAGGAAATCTCTAAAAAACACTTTTATTCTTTGCCAGGTCACAAAAGAAGACCAGTCTTTCCAGAATATTATGCGATGTTATAGGACTCAGCCACAGGCCCGGAGCCAGGTAAGCCACTGTGTCATGGTTGAAAATTCATGCACGTTACAAAAATTAACCACTATGTTATCTTTTCTCCAGGATAAGTAAGTCTTCTTTAATTGTCCTTAATCATCGGCAGACAGCCTCACATGTTGGTTAACTTGGATGTCATCTTTCCTCTAAAGACAACTTTGTATGATACTTGACTGCCTTTTTAATTCAAGAACTGTGCATGAATGTATGAAGCTGTTTGGGTTTCATAGTACCTTTCAGGGAGTTCTAATGGCCTAGTGGGTAAGGAGTTTCATTGCCAACCTCCAGTCACCCAGTTCAAATCCAGCAGCTGCTCTTTGGGAAAACAATGGGCATTCTCCTTCTGTGAATTTTATTGCTTCTACACACACACACTTGAGGGTCATCTGTGAGTCAGTGTTGACTCGATGGTACAGAACATCAACAACATAGCACCTTTTGGTCTCTGACTTTAGTTCATGGTTATTATTTCTGCCAGGTTCTGGTGTGACACAAATGGTTTGTGCACAACTACTAACCTAAAGGTTGACAGTTTCAACCCACCCAGCGGCCCAGGAGGAGGAAAGGCCTGATGAGCTGTAGCCAAGAAAGCCATTCTCTTGTCACATGCAGGGCTGCCCTGAGGTGGGGCCGGCTAACTGGCTGTGCACCTTGGTTGTATGTCTGGTCAGTTTTTACTGCGGCTGCTTTATCATTTTAGACAGCAATTGGAATTTCAAACCAGCCAAGCCCTGATTTAAATTCTGCATCAGATACATAATGGCGATATGAATATGTTTACATATGGTAAACATAGGAGTGGTAAACTACCTAGGATTGTTGTGAGAATGAAATAACATGTGTCAAGGCTCTGTAATTTAGCTTCTGTCCCCTTCTGCCTGTGTCATTAAAGGTATACAGAAGTGTTCTGATAAAAGGAAAGAGACGACGATATTCAGGGAGCAGTGATAGCAGAAGCCATCAAAATTCTCCGACAGAATTAAACAAAGAGAGAAGTAAGCGCGATGTATATGAATGTCTTCCAGAACAAAAGCAGGGTGGTTTTCCTTCGGAGACCTAGAGACGAAAGATTACTAAATGAAAATGCTACTAAACTACAAAACTATTTCACTAGCCAAGGAATTGTTGAAGCAGTACTTTGCTGACCTTAAGTTTCTAGAAAGGTCTGGCCTATCAGCCATTCCTGATTTCTGGCTTGACCCACTTGGTGCTGGGCTCAGGGCTTCGATATTAACAGAAATGACTTTGTTCGTGCTACTTCTGTGGCACAGGGCTGGATGTTATTTCTTTGCTTTGCTTCTCTGCTAGCTTGTTGGCAAGAATCCAGTTTTCTCTCATTAGACTGGTACAGGTTTCTGTTCTTTTCTGTATTGGATTTTCTTGAGCACAGTCTGCTTTCGTGTTCTTCTTAGTTAACACCTTTGTTCTGTCACCATAGACAGCAGAGACTCCAGTCCTGTCATGAGGTCAAACAGCACCCTGCCAGTCCCACAGCCTAGCAGTGCCCCTCCCACCCCCACGCGGCTCCCAGGCACCAACAGTGACGTGGAAGAGGAAGAGAGAGGAGACCTCATTCAGTTTTATAACAACATCTACATAAAACAAATGAGAACATTTGCTATTAAATACTCACAGGCAAACACAGTAAGTCTGTCTGGTGGGGATAATTCATACTTATTTATTTTTGAGTGGTTTCATTTATAAACTAGTTTTACAAGCAATTTTGTTAAATAAGATTAAGGAAGACTAACAATTAATTTGCCAGAAATAATTTATTATCATAAAGAAAGCAGTAGTGAAAAAAAAAAAAAGAAAGCAGTAGTGAGAAGAAGGTGCTATTTGGATTCACTAAAAACACAACAGTACAATGAGCTGATGCATGGGTTCGGATGGCCCAAGAGCGGTAACCTTACAGATTAATGAACTTTCTATGTAATTAGGTTCCTCATATTTAAGATGGGATTACAAGTATTTCCTAGTTTAATTTTATAGGTTGTTGTGAAGCTTAAATAGCATATCACATGTAACTATGTTTTAAAGTAGTGATATTTTAAAATATTTTAATATTTTTAATGTTGTTTATTATCCATAGTGGCTTGTTATACCTCTTCATTGTTTCAGCAGAAGAGATTGTTTTCCATAAAAATACCTCCATGAAAACTTGAGTTTAGCTTTTTGAGAATTACCGATTTTTCTTAATAGATGGATGCTCCCCCACTTTCACCTTATCCATTTATAAGAACAAGTTCTCCCCGCCGAGTCCAGCTGTCTCCAAACCATTCTATCTACATTTCTCCAATCAAAAGTGAAACAATGCTTACTCCTCAAGAAAAGCTCTTCTATTGCTTCAGCAACAGTCCTTCAAAGGTGAGTCTAACATAAGCTATCGTTTCTACTAAGCCCACAAAACCCAAGACCCTGTAAATAGGGTTTATGCTAAACTGGAGGCACTAACTAGAAGGCTAAAATTAACTGCTAATGAAAAGCGTTGGAAGGAGGAGTGGCATCCACTTCCGTAATAGCTTGCCTCCGGAAACCCTATGAACCTGGAGAGAGGACAAAAGTCACACAAGCATTGAGGACTCTCCTTCATAGGGTCGCTATGAGTTGCCTACAACTCGACAGCACTTAACATCAACATAGGGAGAGATCCCTTGGCCCAGTGGACAGAAAGCGATGCCACCAAGCCAAAGGTGGGTGACTTTTAATCTGTAGCCCTCGGGCCTTTCATTGTTTTTGTTCAGACATTCCTCTAGGTCGTATAGCCCTGGTGTGTCCACTGGCCGTACAGCGGTCACTTGTGGTTGCTGTGAGGCTGAACACTGTGACACTGATGTGTCAAATGCGCTAATGGTTGGTTTCCCAGTGAGGACAGTGTGAGGTGGAGCTCCCAAATGAAACAAGCTTGGAAGCAGGAGCGGCATCCACTTCCATAATAGCTTGTCTCCGGAAACCCTATGAACCTGAAGAGACGATGAGAGACACACAAGCGTTAAGGACTCTCCTTCATAGGGTCGCTATGCATCACCTGTGACGCGACAGCACTCAACAACAACAATGAAAAGTGATCAGAGAAACCAATTTTATTTCATTTAGAATAGGATTTGGGTTTGGAAATGGGGTAAAGGATTAGCATTTTTATTTTTACCTTTCCTATGTGCATATTTTAATCATTTCTGTTAGGGAAATAAAATCTGGATCCTGTAAAAGATTAACTGTACCTCTTTCTGGAAGAGCACTATCCTCTTAAGCTCTGCCAAAGGGTGACACAGCCATTTTGTACAGTGCAGGATGGTAATAAATAGTATGATTACTTAATTTGCCCAAGTCTGCATGGAAGCATCTACCTCATTGAGATGAGGAAGGGTGGTTGTACCAAGCTCTAATGGATAAACTTAACAAGGCGTAGAAGAACACGCAGAAAGCAGATGATCTAAAAATGAAATTATGTCCTTGAATCAGTAATAGAAGATCACTGGGAGGCATATGCCATGTTAAGGAGTAGAATCTGATCTTGAAGAGGCCCTTCCATGATTAGATTTGTAAAGTATAAAGACTGGTTGAAAATAAATACATACCTACCTAATGGTTGGCCTAGACTCTTAAGAATAAACAAAACCCAGAAAATAGTATCACAGATATTCCAGGTTAAAGGAAACTGTAGATATCTTAATGCAGTGCACAATCTCAGCCTAAATCCGCCACAGAAAAACAGATCTAAAGCAAATTTTTGGCAGGAACAACTTGGAAAATTTGTGCAGGTACGTGTACTATTATCTAACATGATGTTTAATTTTCTTGGTATACCAGGCTATTGAGGTATAAAGATGTCAGCAAATTTAAATGCTACAGCTTAAAGGGCAGACAAAAATGTATATAAGAAAATTGATAAAGCACAGATGGTAAAATAGTGATGCATCAGTGTTCAATGTACTCTTTTAGTATCTGTGGGTTTGAAATACTTCAAAATAAAAAGCATCAAAAACGTGTTAGAAAATATAAAAGGAAAAACCTTACATAGTAAGTGGCATATCAGTGCCTTGGAATAAACTTAAATTTTGTTAGCAAATTATTTAACTTGAATTATATGAGAAATATTCATATTTCTTTTTCCAGTGGAGCAGCTGGTAGTCAAACTGCCTGCCTTTGGGTTGGAAACACAACTCCTTAGAACTTGGCCACAAGAACTTCTTCAAGAGGAACTGGCCTAGTAGCAGAAAGCTGCGCTGCAATCCCAAAGGCTGCAGTTCGAGGCCACCAGCTGCTCTGCGGGAAAAGGATGGACAGTCTCCTCCTCCCATGTGATTAGTTACCTCAGAAAACCTGCCAGAGGGTCAGGTATAGGTTGGTTCCAACTGGACAGTACACAACAATAACAATACCAATACACCTATCAGGAGCTTTGGTACCTGGTGGTAAGAAGCTGGACCGCAATCCCAAAGGTGTGTGTTTTGAATCCACCAGCTGCTCTGTGGGTGAAGGATGGGCAACCTCCTCCCATGTGATTAACTGCCCCTAGAAAGCCTTTTTGGGTGAACTCAACAACACACAACAACAGCAATAATACACCTAGACTGGGAAGCTGCTGTCCAAACAGAACAAGGGAACACTACAACATTCAAAGGAGTTGAAAATTAAGGAGTGTGTCAAGAATATATCCTTTCTCCATACCTTTTCAATCTATATGTGGAAAAGATCATTTGGGAGGCTGGACTTCATGAAGAATGTGGCATCAGGATTAGAGACTCAGCCACAATCTGTATTATGCAGAGGACACAACCTTGCTCAATGAAATTGAGGACAACCTAAAGCATTTTTGCTGCAGAATGTCAAGGACTACAGCCTTCAATATGGATTATATTATATGGAGAAAATTAAGATCCTGAATCAAAGACACTGATAGGCAGTATCACAAGAGATGCAGAAAAGAATGACATTGGTTTTGTTTTTTGTTAATTTTATTACTTTTTGTGTATCTACCGTCAAATCAGATCCGACTAGTACAGGAGGAGATTGTCCCCCCCTTTACCAGCAGAGCATCTGGTGGATTTGAACCACATGCCTCTGGCATTGCAGTTCACCTTCTTGCCACTAGGCCACCAGAGCTCCCTAAGAATGACATTGTTAAGGATTTAATCTTGCTCAGATCCACAACTGCCACCCTTGGCACCAGGAGTCAAGAAATGAAAAGATGAGTTGCTTTAGGAAAGTCCCCTGTCAGGGACCTCTCCAGAGTGCTAAAGGGCAGCGTTGGCAGTCTAGAGACTTAACATGTGGCTGATCCAGGCCACTGCCTGGTCTTTGTTACATGTCAGAGAACTAGACAATGGCCAAGGCTGATAGGGGATGAACTGATGCTTTTGAGTTGTGCTGGAGAAGAGTATTGAACCATGGACTGCCAAGAAACTAGGTTTGTCCTGGAGAGGGTTAAACCAGGTTGCTCCTTGGCAAGGATTTTGAAGCTCCATGTCACATACGCTGGGCATATTGCCAGGGGGAAGCAGTCCTTGGAGAAGGATATCATGCCTGGTAGGTCAGTGCAGGAGAGGAAGACCTGAGATGAGCTGGATTGACTGACAGGGTGACTGGCAATTGAGTCAGGTGTTGGAGCCCCTGAGGTTGGCTCAGGATAGTGCAAGAGTCAGAGCCTTTATTCATTGGGTCACTAGGAGTTGCAGTCGACTCAGCGGCACATAACAAACAATGCACTGAAAACCCCCTGGTGGTGCAGCAGTTAAGCACTTGGATGCTAACCAAAATACCTCGCAATATGCATTAGCATTTTAAAGGTTTTTTATGTTTTGTTTTCTCCATTTTAGAGACTGAGAGAAATTAACAGTATGATACGGACAGGTGAAACTCCCACCAAAAAGAGAGGGTTTCTTTTGGAAGATGGAAGTGAATCACCTGCAAAAAGAATTTGCCCAGAAAATCACTCTGCTTTATTACGTCGTCTCCAAGATGTAGCTAATGACCGAGGTTCCCACTGAGGTTAGTCTCCTGCGTTGGAACTGTCTTTCATAAACTATGTAGCAGCAAAATTTAAAGCACATTAGATTCTCGAGCTCTTTCTCTTAACTGAGCCAAGCAACTAATGTCTGTCTGAAGCATGACAGGAAGTTTGCGTGAGATTCTGAACTTCAATATCTTTAACAATATTTTTATTTACCTTTTCCCTTATCATCAAGGCTACTTAGAATCCACACCTGGATTTTTAACAGTTTGGCAAAACTTTTTAAAAGCAATGCAGAGAATAAAGCATGCTCTAATATGTATATTAGAAGTTGCTGTGTGACAGACTCCAATAGACAGACTGTGTTTCAAATTCATTCCTACCTATTTTGGGTCAGCTCTGGTCCTCATGAAAAGCAAAACAAAACCAGAGTATTTTGTCTTCCATCATTTTGTGGGAGTGTGAGCTATCTGCATTTCTAAGACAGACAGACCAGGGGAGAGAGCTCAGATTCAGTGGTTCTAGGTCACTGGCACCATTTCCCATTCGGTGTGTATTTCTCTAACAAGAGTGATGCAGTGTGAAAGGTGCTTGCTTGTGCAATGTCTCAGTGAACATGTATATGAAGTGGCACTTTAAGATTGTAAAAAGCATGATTTTTAAAATCCAGATTTTGCTGTATATTTGTGATGGCACTTTCTACAATGTAAATTTTATTAAGTATAAAACTTCTAGGGTAAACATTCAGTATCTTCTTTTATCATTTTCTACTTTTTTAAAATTTAAGGTTAAAGCTCCAGTAGCCACTTTTTGGGCACATATTTGAAAATTCCCCAGCTTTTTGTTGCCATGATATAGAGATCACCTGGCTAAGTAAAGATTTCACATTGAGTAAATTAAGAGTATGAATCAGAAAAATTATGATCTCTTCCTTTAGGAAGGAGTTATCCAAAAGACATGTTGAGGTAATGGACTGTAAGATATCTTTGGGTATGTTCCTGGAAGTTTTGGGTGGGGGAAGATTGGAAAATTTAGGTTTCCCTTAGTGCATAGTACGATTTATACAAATTAGAGAATGTTATTTAACAGATATTAAATGATCTGTATATACCTTTATTAATCATTCTTATTCCCAGCAGTTTTAAAGTTGAATTAATAATCTTATTAGGGAGAACATTCAATAGCAAATTGAATCAGTATAAGCAAAGGCTACTAGGTAACACTTTATACTGTTGAGTAAGAAGTGTTCTACAGAAGTATGTATGAAAAGTCTTGAATTA